TCTTCCCTGAAGGCTTGCTGACTGAGTGGTAAGAACAACCCTGGACACCTTAAATTGCACACCTTAAATTCTCTGCATTCACACTCAAACCCACCTATCAACTTGTCTCGTTCACAGCAGCCGCCTGCACTCCCAGCCCCACTCTGGCCTGGCTATTCCCCTAAGCACTAGGCCTGACGCGCTCTCCCTAGCGCCTCCTTTCTTTTCACCGCTGAGGCTGGCCACCACCTCCTTTAGTGCATTTTAGACCCTTGTGTTAGATCCAGTTTCTTAGCTTCCCTACCAGTTCTCGGTTCTGGGAGGCTTCTCTCTCCTTGCATTCAACCCGCCTCAAGATGCATTAATGGAATCATTCTAAAATGCTAACCTGTTTAAAACCCTTAAGTGCTTCCCACAGAAAGATTCCAAGCTAGGCAGTCCTTTTATGATCTGACCATTCGTCTATGGTTGGGGCTCTTCTGATAGCTGCGTTTTCCCATCTCTGACTTCTCTCTGCCATTTGTCCTGTACTGAAACACTCACACTCTCCTCGGTGGCCTGGCAGAAGTCTGCTCATCTGTTTGCTGACCTTTGGGGCCAGGAGCAAGCTGGGGTCTGAAAGGAGAGTACTGCAGGCCTGGGTGTGCCACCTGCAGTGACCCACCAGGTTACCTCTGTAAGATGTGTTCCCTGCATTGTAGCTCTTAATTTTCCAAAGACTGCACGAGATGCGTGCAAGAATCCCATCTTCCTGCCTTAATATAATGCTAGAGTTACACCAGCCGCTTTGAAAGAGTGAATAAATGATTAAAGGCCACTTTGTTTTAATAAAGCTAATGTGATGTGTGGTGATTGTAATTGGTTCTCATTTCATTTGACAGGAGAAAATTTCAAACCTGTGCTAATTTGAGCTGTTCTGTAATCAGAGGAGGGCTTCCCTCCAGTTCAGTGCACACAGGGGAGAGCTCAGACTGCCTGCAGGACAGGCCCAGGCTCTGAACCTGCTCCCTTCTCCCTGACTGGATGAAGATTGCATCTCAAGTTTCTAAGAACAAGGCCGCTGCTCTTCATTATTTCAAAATGATGCCGAGTATTTCTTCCCATCTCCAAGAGTATGGGTCATGATCGTGATGTCATGGTGGGCCGCACATGCAGGGCAGAATGACTGTGAGGGTGACCACAGGAATGCTCTGGTTGGGAAAGGAAAAGCCACATGCCAGAGGGAGGCTGGCGAGATGGAGCAGAGAGCAGCAGGAGATGAACTCCATCTGTAGGGACCACTGCATGTTGCTTAGGAGACCTCTAGCTACTGAGGTGCTGTCCTGAAGAAGGGGGCGGGGAGGAGGCAGAAGTGTGATCCAAACACAAGCACAGAGCCACAGGGAGGCCTCTGGAGGGGGCTGTGCAGCCTGGAGACAGCATTGCTCCAAGTTCCTATCCTGATCCACCCTTGCAAGTCCATTGCCATACACAGACTCAGATTCCTGGTTACAGTCCACACCATGGATTGTCCCCTGTGATGGGGCTTCCCGACGCATTCCCAGGAGCCCAGAGGTCCAGGGACAGGGAACCCAGCAGTAGGCAATGGACAGCCCAGCCGACAGAGGTGCGGATCATGATTCCCGGGGCCCCAGGCTATTTGCACAGCCCCAGACACCTCTAATTTCTCATCCTCTGGCTTTGCTTTAAGAGCTCAGGTCAGAACATGCCTGCCCCTGTGCCGCCTCTGATGACAGTACAGACTGAATCCTTGTGTGCCTATTTATAGACAGTGTTTGGCTGTACTGGGTCCCACCTTTCAGTTCAATTTTATTCAGTGGGTGGCTAGTAAAGTCTGCGGTATCCAAACGTCCAGCTCAGAGTAACTTCCTCTACTGTGGGATTTCTGGTTGCTCCATTTAAACAGGGCTTCTGATAGTCTAAGTAGGAAAATATCCATTTCAAAGATGCGAACAGAGATTACAATTTCAAAGGACACAATCTAAAAAAATCAATAGCCTTTGGAAGGTTGCAAGTCAGCAGCCACTTAACGGTCTGTGCCTGTGCTAATCTTTAGTCCCCAATACCCTCTTTATGCTAGTGGGTTTCCTATCACCTCTCCCTTTTCTGCCTGTTTACTTTGTCTATGTTCCTTGTGATTCGGTCATACATTTTTCTTAGGCGTGTCTGTGCTGTGTCCTCTGAATCATGTTTTCTTTCATTCTAGGTTTATATTTTCTCTACTATGCCCCTCCTTACCTTCAAAGGAAATATAAAACATTTTAAAGCATCATCTTGATTAAATACAGTTGCTTTTAATTGGACACATAGAAATCTATCCATATTTTTATGTCTCACAGTCTAAAGAGTGTCCTTTAGAAAAGATGGCTGCAGCTGAGTTATTTGAGGCTGATGGCATGGAATGGGAAGATGGAGGGCTGAGGGCTGAGTTGCTGAGCCCTTGACAGCATTTAGACCAGCAGTTGTAGAGGAATACTGCTATCAGATCTGGTTAAACATAGAGATGTTCTGGTAACCAGATGGCTTCTGTTTGGCAGTGCATCAAGTGAGGTGTTTACCAGCTCTGAAAGCCATTTCAGAGCACTGTGTCCTGGGTATCCGTGATTCTGTTCGTGTCCCTTCTCTCTGGCGGCCACGGATAAGATGTTCCCATGTATTTTATGCTGTAGTGACTGTGATGTTTATTCTCTCCTCAACTTGCTGATTAGAGTCTCCTTTTATAATGAAGCATCTATTTCCTTATAAATTTATTATATAGAGTAAATATGGAATTTCATTATTCATGAATTTAATTTTTAATAGCATATTTATTAGGGTTGACCCCATGATTCTATTCCATGACAACCACGTTAGTTACAGCATCTCTGCTATACTTCCTAAAATTCTTTTCTTTCTAAGAATCAGTGGCTGACACATTGGGTATGATGCCAAAGTCTGCTCTCAAACTTTAAATTTCCTCATACATTGAGCATATTTATGTGACTCTCCCCCTGCCCCGTGCCGCTCCCAAGGCAAACCAATTTAGAAGAATGGCTTATTCCCTTTCTTCTACTCAAGGATTCAGAATTCAATCCTGATTGGGTTTTCCTGAGGCCCAGGAACCAGACACCAAAGCCATTAGAAAAAAATAGCAGAGACAGGTGTGAAAACTGAAACCAACTTCACAGCAGCCAAGTGAAGAATTCTAAATCCAATAGAAAAATTAAATTAAATTCTAAATCCAATAGGACCATTAAAATGCTTTCATCAGAAATATTGACCAGAACAAAGCCTGTAATATTTTACAATTCAGTTAGAAGAGTAAAAATAATATGCATTGCTCTAGAGTACATATTTATAACAGAAGCCTTGTGAAAATGTTTAGTCTCAAAACTCATGTGCATCACTAACTGGCTTAATTCACCCGTACACTCAAGACTGAATTCACAGACAGTGATGTCAGGTTCTAGGCTGTTACTGTCTTTAGCACGCAGAAGAACTGTGGGATGGGCATGGTGGCTCATGTCTGTAATCACAAGAGAACGAGTCATGAGGATCTCCATGAGTTCCAGGCCAACCTGGGTTACAGACTGAGAAAAGGTCTCAAAACCAAACCAAACAAAAAGAAAATGAACGACACATAGGGATGGGATTCTGTTTCAGGTCGGGTCTGTATACATACACTGTATGACTTTGAGATACTTTTACTTATAAAGACCCACCGTGGAGTGCTTCAAACCAAGTGGTAAATGTTAACATTTCTCAGTCTACAAGATCACAGATAGAAAAGGACGAAGCAGTTAGCAGGTAGAGGATGGTATAGAAATGACCAGCAGACTAGCACCCAGGGGGCTTGTGCCTTACCTGTTCTGAGTCATTGGTTACATGATGAAATTAGCGAGGCCTTAGGACTTATTTGAACTTAGGTTTGGGGTCAGGTGTTAAATGAATGCAATATAAAGATTTTTTTTTGATATTACCTTGTCTAGGGGAGGGCAGGTATTGGGTATAAAGATTTTTAAAATCTGGGGCTGAAGAGATAGCTCAGTGGTTAAGAGCATTGACTGTTCTTGGGGAGGACCCAGGTTCAGTTCCTAGAATATACATGGCAGCTAACAACCATCCATAACTCCTGTTCCAGGGGATATGACCCTTCTTTTGATATCCATGGACACTGCATGGACAGGTACACTTACATATGTAGTGGAACACTCATACACATAAAGAGACTTGAATCTGCCAAGAGGAAACTTGTATATAGTAGTCATCCGATTTGCGAAATAACCACAGGTTCATAGCCCTGATGATAATGCAGATATGTGTGTGAGTCCTCTGGAACTTTTCATATGACATCTGTTACCAGGAGCGCTGTATATTTTAAAAGGAAACAGGGGACTTCATGGTCTTTAATGTTTGAATTTCAAAAGAGGAAATTACATTTCTCATTTGCAGAATGATTTATTATAATTAATTCCCCTTTCTTCTTAAAGATGCGATGTGGATTCTATTTATTTAGCTTAAGAGCTTAGAGCATTATGACATAGATCTATTCGAAAAGAAAATCACTGCAAGTTGTTTATAGTTTGTGTACTGTGCTTTCAGTAGCTCTGTCTGAAAATTCTGAATTATACCTGAGAGGTCTGACTGTGATTCAGTACTCTCTCTTCTTTTCACATCATCCAGCCTGAGGGAAAGTCACACTTCAAACTGCAGCCAACTTGGGCTAAAGCTCTACCAGTCAGGCTGAACTTATTGTGGCTTCCCATCCCCAAATCAGTAACAGAATAAACCCATTTCCATCTTTCAGCTCCAGACTTTGGGCAACTCTTTTAGTCCAGAACTTGATCACAAACAAGATGAATCTTCAATACTGCATAAGCTATTATCAACACAGTGAAATGTTCTATATCAAACAGACCTTGGCTATCCCAGGAATGAAGAACAAGGGCAAACCAGGAAAACACAGCAGAATCTGGTCTTTGCATGACTTTGCATTTCTCCTTTCAAAACCAGAAATAAATAATAGATTTCAGGTTACTCACTCATGGATTCAGTTAACTTGGCCATGGTCATTCCTTCTTTGTGCTTTTCCTGGAAGGGAGAAGAAAAGGTGATTATATATGGTGTGTCTTATATATGAATCAAGTGAGGGGTCAGTTGTAGCCACATCTCTTTTGATTTTTCCTAGGTCAGTTACATTGTCAAAGTATTACCAGGCAGTCACTGAAGAGAGACTTTTTAGGGCATTTCAAACCTTCGCATTGCTCTTGGCAGTGAGCGTCTGTCACACTGATCTTGGATATATATATAATTGGTGACGCACGACCAGTTTTCAAAACCTCTTTGACACCGGAGCTTTGACGCTCTCCATTTTCCCTTGTTGAAGCCTTTTTAAATTTTTGGAACTGATATTTCTGTATCATTTGGTCCCCCAAACTGAATAGATTTTATATATCTTCCTTTGTCTTACTTTTTGGGTTCCTTTGGAGATTTTTTTTTCAAAGTCATAATGTTTGATGGGTCTCTTAACCTTATCTATTTTGAGCTGAAAACATTTTGTTTCAAACAGATATAGGTTATAACCCACTGAATCCAAGAGTCAAGCGGATCCACACAGAGATTGAATTTTCCCTAATTAAAAAGAGACTTTAGAGCTGTTGAGAATTAACAGTCGTCTCTACTGAGGAGCTCTTGTCTGTTTCTTCAAAGTGCTCTGGGCTTCCTTTACTTTTTTGGTTCCTAACATGAGCATTAAGTAAAGCACTGATCACACTGACTTTACCCTTTTGTAGCTTTGTTCTTCTGGTTGTGAAACTAATACATGTTCATTACCAAATACTAAAACTTATACATCTGAAAATAAAGTTTTCTCATTACATCATCCCAGAAGAAAATCATGGAAAAATTCCCACCAGCAGCTTTCTCTTCTCTTTCCTGTGTGTGTGTGTGTGTGTGTGTGTGTGTGTGTGCATGCCTGTGCATGCTATGTGTATGTGAAGCCTGTGCATGCACATGTGTGGGCAAATGTGTGCCATAGTGTGAGTGTGGAATTTAGAGGACAACTCACATGTCAGTGCTCCCCTTCTGCCTTGTTTGAGCCTTAAAAAATTTGTTTTGATTTATTTATTTTATTTTATGTGTATAAGTGTGTTAGTGTGCTTGTGTAGTGCCCAGGGAAGACATAAGAGGGCGTCAGATCCCTTGGAACTGGAGTTATGGTTGGTTGTTAGCCACTGTGTAGGTGCTGGGATTCGAACCCAGGTCTTCTGCAAGAACAGCTAGTACACTTAACAGCTGAGCCATCACTGCAGCCCGAGACCAAGTCTTCATGTTGCTTACTGCTGCCTATACCAGGCTAGCTGACCTGTGGGCCTCTGGGGATTCTCCTTTTCCACCTCCCATCTCCCTGCAGTGAAGCTGGGGTTACCATGCCTGGCTTTACGTGGGTTCTGGACATTCAAACTCAGGTCATCAAGCTTGTACAGTAAGCACGTTACCCCCGGAACTATCTCCCCAGCTCTCTAGCCCCGTTTCTGTAGCTATTTGCAGACATGGAAATACAATCTCCTTTCCATGGATATAAATATCAGCACAATATGTGGGATGCCCTAAGCCACCATGTCACTGAACACCAAGAACACATGGTGCTGTGCCAGTAAAAGCAGAATTCACCATCATTTACTGACTTCATGGCTTTCATCCTGGGGCACAGAACTTGCTTAAGTAGAAAATCCCCATTTAATTTGTTTACCGGAATTTATTTCTTTCCTATTAACTTATTCACTTACTTTTTTCTATTTTACAAAGCACAGTGACAACACCCATATGCTGTTCTATTATCCCACATGAAGACTGTATTTAGTGGCATGTTTAGCTGCCTTTCCCATCCATGCATGCCAGTTTGCCCATGACATGTGTGCCTGACGGTCCGTCTTTGATAGAGATGCTGGAACCTGGTGCATTGTTATTTTATACTGTTTATTGTTTGGCCTTTGGCTTGTGAGCACAGTCTCTGTCATGTACCACTGTTGCGTTGCTGACTCTTGGCTTCATGCTGCGGTGTTCAGCTCCTTCCTTCACTGTCGACATTTGTGTTCTTAGAAACTCAGGGTTTCTGTCTCCCCACAGTCTCGTAGGATGCTGAGCACATCGCAGCTGCTCGGCTAGCACCTGAGCTGACAGATCGGGGTAGATCAGGTGTTGCAGCACTGTTAGCAGAAGCATTATTTACCCTTCAGGCAGCGCTGTTCCCCAACTGAAGGGTGTGTTTTGACTGAGTAGTAACAATATTCTTGATCCTCATATACCTGCATTCATAATGCTGGGTGTAAGACACTGCCTCCTATTTAAGCTGAGGATTGACCCAGGACACCTAACCCACCATAGCTTATGTAGAGGCACTGAGAAATAGTGTGTTGTGGGCCAGTACACAGTGCCTGCTTCAAAGACTGGCAGACCTCAGTGGGTAGCGGCAATTCAGGCCTGATGGCCTTTCCATGGCAGGGAGTTAGGGACCTCAGTCCTTGGCCTGCAGAAGCCTCCTCTGCCACTGAGGCTCGACTTCACACCTCGCTCGGCTCAGCTCTTCTGCACTGCCCTCAGCTCCCCATGCTTGTACCTACACCTGTGTGTGTGTGGACCTGTGTGTGTGTGGAACCTGTGTGTGTGTAGCTTGTACCTACACCTGTGACTTGGTCCTCCCTTTCTTTGCTGACTCCAAGTGCCTTCAAGCCTCATGTGGATTGCTGTCCCCTTTGACATGCCCCTCCCCCAAGGCGTGAGACTTCCTCCATAACACAGGCACCTAGATTCCAGGCATTCTGTCTGTAAACAGTCCCTTGAGTTCACTGTCTTCTTCCCTGTGACCCTCCCTCATCTCTTCTTACTCCAGAATTCTGTCATGTTTTTCTTATGTGTGGGTTGCGGCTTTTCCTTTAATGTAGTGGCTATCTCATCTTAGAGATACCAAATCCTATTTGTATCTGTGTTTTCCTCCTCTCTGTAGTTAAAGCTCTGACACTAAGGGGGGGGGGGTCCTTAAAAACCCTAAATTTAGCTGTCTTGGACTGACTCATCTATAGCATAACTTATAGTGGAAATCATGGCATATGGATTTGGATAAGTGGCTTACTCACTCCATTGGCTGTCTTTAAACTCCTTATGGCCTTCCCTCATTATCAGAGAGTTGATGTTTGCAATTACACAGCGTGTGGACCCGATAAAGCATTCACATTCCATTCTTGGTCTCAAGAAAGTCCATATTCGAAGCCAAGAGTTCCCTCCATAGTAAACTTACTGGTTGTTGGATTTTGCGTTACAGGGAAGAGATTCTGAAATACAGCCTAGCGAAGCTGGAAGACGTTCTGTTAGAGATGATCAAATCCCACAGTGATGTCGCTGATGAAACCAAAGCCCAGGGGAGTGTGCTGTGCCAGGAGAGGGATTTGCAGTGAGCTTCTGGGCCACTTTCTCCCCCACCCCTGGTATCTTATCTTGTATCTGATCTTCCCACTGCTCAGAGCTACCTTCTCTGCCTCTGCCTACCTGGGCATCACACCACCACAGGATGGTCTTGAATCACCCCCTGGGGATCCACCGTAAACACAGACCTGGCCTAGCCACCCTGTTGGATGTGAACTGTCCCCCACAGGCTCATGCATTTGAACACCTGATCCTCAGCTGGTGGTGCAATTTTGGGAGATTGTGGAACGTTGGGCATGGGCTTAGCTGGTGGACATAGGGCCTTAGAGGGGCAGGACTGTAAGGTTATAGGCCAGCCCTGCTTCCAGTCTACCTCTTTGCTTTCTGTCCACTGCTGTGATATAACAAGTTGTGCTTTAAGCTCCCCTGGTTGCCATAAACAGCCTCTACAGAAGTGCCTTCCTGCCATGACGGACCGTATTTCCTGGAACTATAAATCCTTCTTCCTTTAAGTTGGTGGGTATTTGTTACAGTGACAAGAAAGGTAACTAATACAGATGCCTTGCTCAAAATCCTTTATTTCTGGGTAAAGCTGCTCTGCTCTGCAACTCCATTTGCACACTGGCTGCATCCTGCAACTCAGGGCTGTTTGGTACCCTCCTGCCTTGGCGTGCACTCTGTACTGTCTAGACACCCCGATTCTGCTCGCCCTTCTCCCCTCCTCCTGAATTAAGGCAGACACTGCCGTGTCTCTGCGCTTTCTCCATTCTTTTAGACCATCCTTCTGGGTTCTGTTTTTGAATACTGCGTTCATGCACAGTACATCCATGTGCTGACATAGTGTCCATGTCATAGTGAATACTTTGGTATGAGAGCAATGTCCTGAACTTTTGGAAGAGCCACATGCCACTCCCCAAAAGCCTTCTGGGAAACTCCTGCCTGCCGACATCCATCACACTGGGGAAGCTGTGTGTGGTAGACCCAAAGCCCGGTCCACTGAAATCCCTACAATCCCGAACAGGTTTCTTTTTAGCCTCAGTCTCTTGCACTGCTCAGAGAAGTTCTGGTGTCTAGTGCTGGGCACAGTGAACTACTGAATGCTTTGCAAATCTAGAAGGAGGCTGTGTTTTCATTACGGAGAATGATATGTAGTGTATACAGGAAGTGAGTCATTATGTGGTACCCCCTAAATGCAGGTTTTATTTTTTATGTCACAGGAGTAAAAAAAATATTTGTGTGTGTGTGTGTGTGTGTGTGTGTGTCTGTATGTCTGTGTCCATATACACATGTGTGGTTTTCTGTGGAGTCCAGAAGAAGGCATTAGATCCCCTGGAGCTGGAGTTACTGACGGTTGTGAGCATGGTTTGCTGAGCTCTGACCCTGCTCAGCCCACACCGAGGCCAAGGAAGGGGCTGGCTGACTGCGCCTTTCTTCAGAGTGTGATACTGGTGGTGCTTTAAGATGAACAAAGAAATAACATGTATCTGCATCACGGATGTCCATGTGCACTGTCTTTTCGTGGGGAGCCAAGGCCTCTGTGTTAGAGGTCATCTAGATAGAACATCAGGGGAGCAAGAATCTTCTTGATCTAGAGAAGTGTTTACTTTGACTTGAAAATGACTGTTGTTATTTCCAGTGTGTCCGGCATGGGCTGAGAAGACAGCGTGAGT